TGCAAGCAAGGGCGAATAGTTGTCTGTGGCTCATGACATCTCAGATGACTGTACGAAAGTTCATGGTGTAGTTCGCCCTACCATCTGCCCTCGTGATAATAATATCAAATGAAACAGTACACTTAAGCTCGCCACTTGGTTTTGCGACTATCGTCATATTTTCTCACTCTTTCAAGCTCGTTGTCTCGATCTACCTAGATCAAACAATCTCTATAAGCACTGCCGTAAATTAGATACGAGCGGTAACGATTTGAAAGCACTAGAAAACCTGGTGTCTGTGCTGGGTGCTTTTCAGGTTGCTACACGAATGCTCTCGGCGTCGTCTTACTGCACTTTAAGGCACATTCGCCCGGTCACTAGGGGACCGATAAATAAGATCGAGCCCGGAGGGAAGCCATCTAGGCGAGTGCCGAGTTTCTAGGATGAAGGCTCGCCTTAGCGAGAGTTTACAGCAGTACTCCGGTTTCTGCTTGTTTTCAGAGTCTGATCCATTACTGTACCGCGCTCGTGTGGCAGCTGCTTTACCCGGCATTCTCAAATACAGAAGATCGCGAAGGAGATGGTCACGAGGCCATTCGTCATCGTATGATCTACTTCAAAATCGTTGACTGCACTCCAATGTACTTGCTGCGTCTCTCAATGTGCTTGCTTCCTCTCTGGCATACGTCGGAAGGATTGTGCTAGACCATCAGATACCGTATCTGGAGTATCCTGGGAATTATTCGTCTTTGAAAAAGGCTCGCAAGCTCTGAAGACTAGTCGTGCAACTTTGTAACGCTCTGGAGTAACTGATCCGAACTCTCTCTACTCAGTATGGACTTCCTGTTCTTGCGAAGAAAGTTATTCCTTGAGCGGGTCTCTGGCACGAAGTAGGAAGAGCCGACTCGGTGATAAGACCCTCCGAGCACTCATGCTCTTGAGGAAGCAATAACATGATGATGATGCTACTGATGACCTCACCTCGACAGTTCAATGCTTGTTGATTCGATAATGTTTCGATCATTGTATCTCTACGAGCGTTTCTGATGTGTGTACGAGTTTTGTCAGTGGAAGGGTCATCGTATACCACTCCCGTAGCGTAAAATCGAAATTTACGTTTTTCGTTACGCTGCCTATCTATAATTTTTCCCCACTTACTTGCAATACATATGCACGAGATTACTAAAAACCTCCTTGGGAACCGATCCCAACGGCCCGTCATCAGAAGTAACAGTACCCGACTGAAATTGACAGGGAAAGTATATCGTCGTTGGCACACACACACACAAGAGTGTTAGCGATGACGTTGTTAGCAGACACTCTTCATGTGATGGTGTTGGAGTAGGAATATATATTCGCTTTATTCAGCGGCTGAGCTGAGGAGTTTCCTCACTAGTTTTACAAGACGTTTTCATACGAATTCGGGTAGAAGTATACAGAAACCAACAAGGAATTTCCGAAACCCCCAATGCATATTTTCCCACACTGCTCAGTTCGAACTTCAGCGCTGACACAGTAAGACGGCCAAAAAAACGCAATATTATCATCTCATGCCCGTTCGTTCAGAAGTGCTTGATTTCGTTCAACCACACTCTGGCGTATTTTTTCCCTTACAAGAAAAATAATGCTCAATTTTAAATGCCAACTATAGATAGTCAGATTTACATCACAAACAGTTACAACGCATCAGACTCAACCCCCGTACCGTAAAATTACGGATCTTACGGAGTTGCAGAGAATTGATATTTCAAGTCGTAACTGCAACACGGTGATGTCAATCTCACCTGTAATAGGAAATTAAGTTTGGCAAACCCCTCAGCGGGTTTCTCATCCATATACGCCAACGCTGTGTTATGCAATGTCACTGGGTCCAGCTCAGCCTCATCACGAGGGGGCATGTCGCTCAAACACTCCTACAGTTAAGTGCAGTTCGCGGGGATAGAGTCAGGGCATAATCATAAGTAATCGCACGAAATGTAAATACTACATAAATATTATGTTCATCACATACTCAGAATTATAAAAATAATAATAATGGGGTTTAACGTGAAGTAGTGTAATACTCTATGAGAATACACTCGCCCTTGTGAACTGCGGAATATACTCTAACTTTTATTTTTCTTATCACCGATGAAACTCCTATAAATCTATTCCAAAAAATAAAATATAAAATCTTTTGGAGATAGCGCGGGCTTATCCCAAATCGACGAATGCCAAAGTCCCTACTTTAGCGCCATCCAGATTGCCATTGCTAAGTTCAATAGCAAATTTCAAATTAATAGTTTCGACGAGAGCCGAATCACGAAGGGCGTTACCTGAAAAAATGTACGAAGAACATGCTCATCGTCAACTACATGTATTGGTGAAAATTATTGTAATCAACATTCAGAACAGCTTGGTATGGCCCGATCTACTGAGACTATAGCTAACTCGTAATTATCGATCAACATAATATGTACGCATATACACACCGACCGGCCTCTCATTACGTTACCCACTAGGATCGATAGAAAAAGTTGACTTGGTTTTTCTTTCCCTCCCGGGAGGAGTAGCTACTTGGAGGTACTCTCGAGGAACCACGCTCTAGAAGAGCTCCAAACGAGGACACCCTCGTTTTATATATGAAGGTGATGATATAGAAATTAGGACCACATTTACGTGATCTATCATCATCCCTACACACTTCTACCCGAATTCATATGTAAACTTCTATAACTAGTAAAGAGAGCTTCTGAGCTCAGCAGTTGAGGAAAGCAAACATATATTCCAATACTCGTAAAACATATAGCAGATTCAATCTAAACACAATGTCATCAGCCAGTTCGGCCGAGCAGTCTTATCAAAAAATCCTCGTGGGTTGGACTCACTATTGCCAACACTCCTCAAGGGCTTCCCGGCCTCACCAACAAGGCTTGCGTGATTCACCTGAGCCCAGTTGATCCGAGCCGTGACCACCAACCAAGGTTGTATTATATTATCTCTTTCTTCAGCTCATCCTAGGAGTTCCCTCACACCCATGAACAGAATTTTGTACCAAATTTTCATATTGTCATCACCAACACATGTGATCGATCATATACATATATTTCCTCTCAAACTGCCAGCGGCACTCCTCCCACTTGAGTGTTAATGCCAATTCCCAACTCCGGGTGCTCCTTTACGCCGCGCTCGATGATATCCGAAACCTATTCCAATAAT